TTGAAGTATCAAGTGAGGGGATCCACACCCGGCTGTAGTGTGCATTCCCTGCATATTATCTGACACATTTCCCCGTCTCTGATGACAATCTGGCTTGCCGACCCATCATTTCGCTTTCCAAATAGTATTCGCTCTCCGTCCTTGCATGCATTCCATGCATATGATCTGACACATTTCTGACACATTCCTCTCTCTCTCTCTCTGACAATCTGTCTAACGAACTCATCATTTCAAATATGTTTTTTTTTTTTTTTTTTTTTTTTTTTTTAAGGCTGATTCTATTGAGCCATTCGAGTTCGATGACCTCTCCATTCTCCCCGCTGCTCAGTATCAATCAGAATACGTTAACCAGGAAGATCAATACTGGAAATTGTTGGCAATCAACTGTTAATCGGAATAGAGAATTCTGAGAAAGGGTTCAGCCCACCCTCCAGGCTTCCTCCTTGGTGGAAGTAGAGAACGAGGATGAGCCAGCGCAAAGGCCACTGGGGCAGTTCCAGTAAATAAGACTAAGAGAAATGTGTGATGAGGAGGGGAATTAATCAATGCTGGTAGTTCCTCACATACTCTTTCAATGCTGATCAGTCTTTTTTGCACTGTAAGGGACGCTGGACCTGATTTCCAGCAGGTGGAGCTCCCTATCAATAGACTGGAGCCAACCGCAGGCGTTGCTAGGGGTGTTTGCTCATACCAGCACACCTAGCAAACCTGGGGGTGTTTTGTTTATAAAAAATAATAATAATAATAATAAAATTGGTCCTGCACGCTGTGGCCAGAGGGCACCCCTATCAGGAAACTCAAACTTGACCGCGCTATGTGGAGGTGGTCGAGTCCCGAGCTCTAGATTTCGGAATACACTGACGGAACCGGGTATAATCAGCTGCATAACTCGCTTCCTCCAGTGGTAGTGGAAACTGAGAGGTGGGTGCAGGTCAGGGGTGAAGATGCTGCAGAGGTATCAAAACTAATTGAAAGTCACCTGGTCGGACCTGAAAGTGATTGTATCTCAGAGGCTAGCTGCAACTCTACGGTTGCTCACATTAATGGTTACCCCTTCGTCTGTCTGGATCAAGAGCGAGGGTATGGGTGTTGATCTTATCTGCAAAAGGTGCAAATGGCCTTTTCAATCCACCACCCATGTGTGGTTGGCCTGCCCCTTTTCACGTAGGAACTGGTGGCGCAGCCACTGGAAGAGGATCTGTGGGAATGGTTTTAGATGGGACGAGGACTGGATTGGGGCAGTGGTTATCCAGCCTTTTTTTTTTTTTTTTTTTTTTAAAACCCCGCCAATGTTAGTAGTGCTGATAAGAGCAGACACCACTAGCACCTGGGGAGGGGCTCCATCTATTGGTGGGGAGCGTCACCTGCTGGAAAGCGGGTCCAGCGTCCCTTATACAGGCAGAACTTGGAGTACATCAGAACACGCTTGTGAGATGCTCCTGCCAGCATTGATTATCCTGGGATGCAGGGGATTGACTGAGCAGGATTATGGGGAAGAAGGGCGAACCTCTTCACCCTAATCTGGTGCCAGATACATCACTGCACGCTAGTTCCTCCCTTCTCTTGAGCCATATTGAGTCGGACTGCTAGCTGAAAACCGGGTCCAGCATCCCATTGTCTGTGTGGGAGCCAGGCGGAGGGAATGGGAGGGGCCACTGGGGGGCACCAGTGGAACCTCCTTTCCTCCCTTCGCCTGTCCTAAGGCATATAGGGGCTCGTTCCACACTCCTCGGGGCATCCTCGGGGCCCGAGGACGATTCCTTGGAGTCGCCCGAGGAAATTCCCGCCTTCGTTCCACTCATCCTCGGAAATGTTCCCCGAGGATGATTCCTCGGGTGATCCCGCGGCCAGTTGCATATTTCGACACGCGGACGCGGGGGGGTTGGCGAGGTTGGTCCAGCGGGTTGTGTCCATGGCGTCGCCCTTGGTCCAGGAGCTGTGGGCGGCGCGAATTCGAATTTACGCGGCGAAAAAAAAAAGGCTACGAAAACGGCTCGCAGTCCCGGATTCGAATTTCGAAATTCGAATCCCAGTAAGCGAATGACGGCGGCGCGTGTGTCCCTTACGGCTGACGGCAGCAACGTTCGTCGGCGAGACTGTTTCGGTACGGGGTGGCGGCTTCGTGGCGTCTGCTGGCACGCCGAACGTCCATGAATACGTCCGAAGCAGCACGGCCGCCGTCACACGATCGCCAACGTTGTGTGCTTCGCTACGCGCACCTTCGCCGTCGACGTGCACGCCGTACAGTCGGGTTTTCACGACGCGCCATCGCTGTTGTTCCCACCGAAGTAGAGCCTTCTTCACTTGGCGAGGACGAGCGATGGACGTGGACGGGGATGCGGTTCATGACACACTCAGCAAGGCGGAGAGGGCGGCTGTGGCAGCGGCCATGAACATGATACTCGTCAGGTGTCAATTGCAGAGGACGGAGGGGAGGATGAGAGCAGCCATTGGCGCACGCCGGAAGAAGACGCTGCAGTCCATTCATGTGGACGAAGAGGGCAGTGGTGCCATTTGCGACGCTGTCCTTCAGGTGTGCTATGCCATGGGGTGTGGAGCATTTCCCAGAGCGACGCCGAGGTGGTGGATGAAGCGTCGAACAGGGGGGGTGTGGGAGGATCTGCGGCAATGCAACGACGCGACGGAAGACTACGTCAAGGACAAGCTGCGCATGTCGCCACGGGTGTTCCGGGAGATAGCGGAAACTCTGTCTCCCTTCCTTCAACGGCGTGTCATGTTTTATAGGGAGCCCCTCCAGCCTGACCTCATCGTAGCGTTCGCTTTGTACAGATGGGCGTCGTGGGAGACGTACGAGAGCGGGACGTGCAGCTTCGGCATTGGCAGAAAGTCTGGGTTGGTGGCTGTGCGGGATGTTACTTCGACGTTGCTGAGTGCGTACCGCGACAAGATGTCGTGGCCAACGGGGCTGCAAAAGGCGGTCGTCTTGCGCGCTTTCGCTGACAAGGGTTTCCCCAACTGCCATGGCTGCATCGATTGTACCCACGTCTTCATCGACAAGCCAGCCAATTGCCCCGGAGAGGACGACTACGACGGAAAACGTCGTTTCTCCGTCCAGGCTCAGGTGGTCGTCGATCTGAACTTGCGCGTGCTGGATGTGTTCGTCGGATACCCGGGGAGCTGCCACGACGTGAGGATCGTCAACCTGTCCAGTTTGTGGGCGCGTGCGGACGCAGGGGAGTTTTTCAGTGGGCCACCTGTCATGCTGCCTTTCGGTGTGCGAACGAATGGCTATCTACTGGGCGACAACGGTTACCCCCCCTCGGAATGGGTAGTCGTCCCCTACAGTGGTGTATCACAACACTCGTCGGAGATTCAGTTTGACAACAAGCAGAAGACGGCGAGGGGAGCAGTCGAGAGGGCTTTCCGCAGATTGAAGGGGATGTGGAGGTTGTTCCTTCGCTCCCACAAGACGAACATGGAGACGTTGCCGCAGCAATTCGTCGCCGTCTGCATTTTGCACAACATACTCA